TGTTTCAAGTTCCTCTTAGGGATAAGGGGAGACTTGTTTAAGAATGTCTGCTTATTGTCAGGTGTTGTCGTTCTCACATTATATTTCATCTTATTATTACTTTTTTCACTTTAGATCTGAAACAGCAAAAAATTGGAAGTCTGTAACAGAATCAGAGCGATCCAGAGGATCCTTGGCATCTATTGCTGAACATATCGGTACGTGCCTGAAAGAACAAAGTTGTAAAGACATAGTCTAAGGCCCACAGAATTCTACCTCTACAAAAGTGAATTTCTGGGACTACAGAGATGGCTCAGCAATTAAAAGCATGTGATGTCTTCCCAGAGGACCCAAGTTAGGTTCCCAGCACTTACCTCATACTGGTTATAACTGCTACTAACTCCAGCTCCAGAGCCTCTAACTGCCTTTTCCACAAACACCCACGCACATGTGGCAAACAGACAGACAGACAGACAAACTTTTTAATTTAGAAAGTTCATTTCCTCAATTATTCCTCAGTTATTATCATTTGAAGTTACTTGCATTTCATCTTGCTTTATTTTATTTCTCTGACAGGGTCTGGATTGTTGCTTACTCTAATCAGAAACTCTTGGACGCAAGTCACCTTTTTACCTTAGACTCCCAAGTGCAGGGACTGTTGGGAACTTTTGTCCCAGCACTCAGCTGTTTTTAAATCAGTTTTAATTGTAAAAAGTGAGGCATGAAAATCAAATAGCTGCATACTATTAACCTCTCTAAATTCTTCCCTATAGTAAGATTGTATATCTATTATATGATAAATGATTGTAGTCTTGTTATCTACTGAAAACGAAAAGACACTAAACTGAGGCAAATAAAAACTGCCTTCCTACCATTAATGATAAAGTAGAGACTTGAATAAAAAACTTAACTCCTGATTTTTTAGTTAATTATATCATACTTTCTTCTTAGTTTGCCACTTTAGCCTTTAACATCAAAGATTTGCAGATATAATCTTATAGTCTCATATTCTCTCTTTCCCTGTCCCCTCCTCCTTCCCTTCTGTCTTCTCACTTCCACGTATACACATACATCAGAGAACTCAGAGTCTCCAGAAAAGCTCATTAAATTTTTACAGATGTTATTGTGTGTGTGTCTGTGCACCACATGTGTGCTGGTGCCTGAGGAGGCCAGCAGAGGGCATCAGATTTCCCCTGGAACTGGAGTTTCAGATGGTTGTGCCATATAGGTACTGGAAATTGAACCTGGGTATGCTGCAAAAACAGCAAGCTCTTGCTGAGTCATCTCTATAACCACCAAAGAGCCATTTTTTAAAAGAATAATAGAAGTATATTCCACCCCCATGTTCTCTATATAGCCTGTTTTCCCATGGCTTGAAACTATCATGTTAAACATGTTGTCATAAACGTAGTCCCTGTTATTTTATAAATTATTCCAAACTTGGAAATTTTTAATGTTCTATTTATTTGCAATATAGTTTATTTTCTTAAAATAAAAAAAAAACCTTGTAGGATAACCAAAACAAGTCATGTTTATTGGCCAGAATTTTTCTCAACTGAGATTTGACTGTAATCAAATAATTTTATGTGATTTTTTTTCTTTAAGACTCTTCACTATCATGTTCTGAGAGAGCCATATCAGAAAGGTCATTGTCTGCATCTGCAAAGGGAGCGGCGATAGCTGAGCACTCGCAGGCCTCCTCTCCAGTTATGTCATTGAGAAAAACGCAGACAGAACGTGGAGACTCTCTTGAAAGTGCACCTTCATTACCTCCTCTCGTGGAATTAAGTGCACCTAATAGGGTTTATGATGTGTCCGAGGCTAAGGCCGAAGACTCCAGTCAAAAATCAGAAATACAAGAAATAGAATACACAAAGCCGGAGAAGAGTGAGGCTGAAGACGCCTGTTCTAAGCAGTCAGGAAGATCTGAAGTCCTGCTGAAACTAGACCTGACCTCTGAAATCCTTTCAAATAAAGAGCTTCCTTCAGACTCTACACATATTCAGAACGATTTAGGTAAATCAGCCATTGGAATTTTTCATGAAAAAGAGGAAGTATTGAAAGAGAATCAGTGTGATCAAAGTACAGATCACAGCCCAGACATCCAGTCAGCAAGAGAGACCCATGACCACAAAGGCAGCGAGAAAGGGGACATGGCCTTGTCAGAACACCTTTCTGCACCTAAAGAATCATCTTATTCTGAAGATTTTGAAGTGTCTTCTTTTAAGAAAGGGATTTCTGCTGAAGAGATTAACAAAGATGACTCTGAGGTGTCATCATCAGCACTGAGGAAAGACTCACAGTCTTATAGAGACAAGTCACAGCTGATGAATTACTCTAGAAGCAGGGCCTCCGGCTTTGGTAGTGACGATGAGATCAGTGAGTGCCTCAGTGAAAAGAGCCTTTCCATTCACAGCAGTGTCCACTCTGAAAGGCTGCTGGAACTCAAGTCCCCAACTGAGCTGATGAGAAGTAAGGAGCGCAGTGACGTGGGACATGAGCAGGGCATTCCTGACTCCCTTTCCCTGGCTGCAGTTTCTGCTGCAGATGAGCTACTGGACTTCCACATTGGGGATAGGGTGTTAATCGGCAATGTTCAGCCAGGCACTCTTAGATTCAAAGGTGAGACCAATTTTGCAAAAGGATTTTGGGCTGGAGTAGAACTGGATAAACCCGAAGGAAATAACAATGGAACATATGATGGCATTGAATATTTTGTGTGCAAAGACAAGCATGGTATTTTCGCTCCTCCTCAAAAAATATCTCATATTCTAGAAAACTTTAATGACTATATAGACGTAAATGAAGATGAAGAATCTTATTCTGATGAACATTATCAATTCTATAATCAAGAGCAGAAAGATTTAAAATGTCTAAAAGACAGAGAAGACGATATAGCTGAATATTTTTTTGAGAAATCGCTACCTAGTATGCATAATATAGAAGCCTCAGTGGATACAGATAGAAGCCCTTACATAGAAACAGACAATAAACTGGACATTTCTGGGGCCCTAGAAGCCCATGTTCACCAACAATCTTCAGTAGATCCCCTGATTTTCTGTAAGGAGAACAAAGCCCTTGTTTCTGACATCACAGACTATGTTCCTGATGCAGCAGGTGCTACTCCAGATAGCACGTCTTCTGAAGAATCAAAGCTACAGCAGCTTGCAGAGAAGGAAGAGAATTCATATTCCCAAATTTCAGAGAAGCCTTCTACCCCACTTCTAGACCTTTTAACAAGAGAAAAAAAACAATTAGAAGCTCAGCTGAAGTCATCAGTAAGTGAAGAAAAAAAGTCAAAGCAACAACTAGAAACAGTCAGCTTACTGACAGACAGTTTACTACAAGATTTTGTGAAAGACACGGTTAGTCAACTACAACAAATCAAAAAGTCAAGGAATGAGAAAATCCAGCTTAGCAATCAGGAGTTTCTTGACCAAAAGGAAGTACTTCCCCAAGACCCACCCCAAAACATTGAGGAACAACCACCCAGTATTCCAAGTTGCTTTTTAAGGTCTGAATTAGAAGATGAAAAAGAAGAGCTTTCATCTCCAGACATGTGTCCCAGACCTGTGAGTATTTCATCTAGAGGAGAATCTCGTTACCTTTTTCTTGGTGGCTTGAGGTGGGCATTCCCCTCAACCTGTTGCTTATTAGATACAGATCGCTATGTTGTTAAAGGACTTGTAGCAATTCTTCTGTCTGAAGTGTAATTGCCCTCTGTTATGTCATGAGTAGTCACTATAGGGTTGTCATGAACACTGTCAGCTTATGGGATCTGAAACATCTTTTACGCTACTATATTGATGGCCCCTGTAATGGTCCACACATTAGATCTCCTACATTCTTTAGAACGTTGTGGTGATTTTCAACCCCAGTCTCTCTCACCTGTCTATTCAGTTTTGGTGCCCTACAGAGATTACCAGTTATTATGTTGATTCTGATAAAACTGAAAGATATCTCTATGACATAGACTCAGACCATCAGCTTGTTTAGGTTGCCCATGGGAAACTAAGGAAAAGTAATGATTTTGTGTAACTTGAGCCAGATAATCACCAAAGGTAAGAATTTTCATTTCCTATTTCAGAATCCCAGTGATAGTCCTTCAGAAATAGAATGATTAATTATATACAAAAGGAAAAAACAAACTAATGAATGTTTTACTGTAAAATTTAATGATTAGGTTTTATATAAGCAAAATAGTGGAAAGAAGGTAGTTTTTTCTTGTTTATCAGTGACCATTATTGTAATTTCACATAGAGATATTAAATACATAAGTAATAGGCATGCTTTGTCTTTTAAATCTATTAAATGAGATGACATCACTAAATGGTCGTTATTTGAATCTTTTGTTCTATAGGAGAGTCCAGTGTTTGGTGCCAGTGGGCAGGAAGAGCTAGCTAAGAGACTTGCCGAACTTGAGATCAGCCGCGAGTTCCTCAGCACATTAGATGACCAAGACTGGTTTGATGAAGATTTTGGTTTAAGCTCTTCTCACAAGATCCAAAAGAATAAGGCAGAAGAAACAATTGTACCTCTAATGGCAGAATCTAAGCGAGCACCCCAGAAGCCATGTGAAACATTATTGGCTGTTCCCCACACGGCAGAAGAAGTAGAAAGCCTTGTTCATAATGCAGCAGAGGAGCTTTGGAAATGGAAAGAATTAGGCCAGGACCTTCACAGCCTTAGTATTCCTACAAAACTTCTGGGCTGTGCCAGCAAGGGTCTAGACATAGAAAGCACTAGCAAGAGAGTCTACAAACAGGTAACATCAAGAGGTCATTGTTCTTAAGTTTCTTGCCCATTTTCTGAAATTTGGATTCTCAGCCATTTTCTTACTGTTTTGTTTCTTGTTTGTTTGTTTTTCCTTGCTAAGGCGGTTTTTGATTTAACAAAAGAGATTTTTGAGGAAATATTTGCTGAGGATCCAAACTTGAACCAGCCTGTCTGGATGAAGCCATGTAGAATCAACTCTAGTTATTTCCGACGTGTGAAAAATCCAAATAACCTAAATGAAATCAAGGTAAGCTGCAAACTATCAACTATCTCCATTGGTTGTTTATTTATACAGACCTATAAGTGACATAAAGCAGGCACTTGCCTGTATATGCCATAAGTAGTAGAGGGTCCATGAGTAGTAGAGGATGTGGTGAAAGGGAACGTTGACTCCTGGAACTTGTAGGCACTGGACAGTCAGGTCCTACATGCACACTGGTGCAGTCTATTCTGTATAATAGTCTCCTTGCCTCAGTAAGTTTTTGTTGTTGTTTTGTTTGGTCAATGCCTACCTTGAACTTTCAGTCCTTTGACTTTGAGACTCCCAAGTGCTGACTACAGAGTTGTCCTTTTCAGAGCAGCTTCTCATCCGGGGTGCTTGTTAACTGGAGTTTCTGAGGTAGGACCCTGAAATTCTGTTCTCAATGCAGTTGCTAATACTGTTGATTCCAGTGTTATGAGTAGTGAGGGTTAAGAGTTGAGTTTTTCAAACTTAATCATAGAAATCCTTTTTAAAAGATTTAATGCTTGTAGACACCAATTTATTTTTAAGATGTATTATGTGTGGTCAGAGGTTGGTAAACTATGGGCCATGGGCCAAATCTAGCCGTTAGCTTTTAAAAATCATGTTTTGTTGAAACATAGCCAGACTAATTTGTTTATTGCTTTTCCTGTTCTAACAGTGAAATTAGATAGTTGTGACAAAGACCATATGGCCCACAAAGCCTAAACTACCTACATCTGATCCTTCAGCTTCTGGCTTAAAGTTCGCTCTTTTTCAAAATATACTTGCACCCTCTTCCTTTCAATCATCTACAGTAATAAGCTTCTGAGTGTATCGTGTGCTATCTGTAGACAGGGAATAGTCGAGTCTGAGGCACACACTGGTAGTTTGAGAATCTTGTCCGATTCTGATTCATAAATGTGTCCTGCTTCTCCACTGAGATCATTGTTGATTGATGAAAACACCTTTAAAAGTAATAAAAAAAATTGTTAATAATAGAACAAATAAGGTGGGTGGTGGCGGCACATACCTTTAAACCCGGCACTCAGAAGGCAGAGGCAGGTGGATCTCTGTTGATTTGAGGCCAAACGGGTTTACAAAGCTTCACAGAGAAACCCTGTCTCGAAAAAAATAAAATAAAGAACAAATAAGCTAAAAGAAGATAAGATATAATTTATAGGCCATCATCAACCTGCCTGTCATATCTATACACTAAGCATAAATTAGATACTGCATACTTATTTTAATATTACTTTTTTTAACTTTAAAAGGGGTTTTAAGGATGATTGATCAGATACTGTTAGTAGTTAAATTGCCATGCTACAGATGCATATAGTGGCACATGCCTATAATCCCAGCATGTGGAAAGCTGAGGCAGGAGGATTATGATAAGCTTAAGACCAGCCTGGGCTATAGAGTAATAGTCTATCTCAAAAACCAAAATAAAGCCAAGAACTTTACCATGCCTCTCCTACTGAAGAGTTCTTAGTGTATTTTATGTAATAGTTTGAACCTTGGCATTTCAGATGAGGCTTGGACTTTTCTCATAAGCACTGCTCCCAACTCTTGATGTGGGATTTCTCCAGTTCAGACATAGTATATGCTTTCTTTACCAGTTTTGCTGATGCGGTGCTGGGGATGATTCAGCAGTTAAGCATGTGTACTACTCTCACAAAGGACACAAGTTTAGTTTCCTACTCTCTCCTGTCCTACATGAACATGCTCATACATGCACATATGCACATAAGTAATGTCCTTCATTAGCTAATTGTGGTTCCTTTAAAATGTCAACTCTAAAGTAATTTTTCTTTAAAGATGTATCATTGGTTTTACTTTTATATGTTCTATAAGAATAAAAATTGTTAAGTGAATAAATTCTGAGTATTTGAGATGTTTTTTCCCTCCTCGATATGGCTAAATGGAACTAAGTGGAAGAAAAATTATTTGGGTCTTCTACCAAAAATATTGTATAATCTGTTCCTGAAGTTATAAACATGAATCTGAGGATTTTATGGTTATATTTTCTTTATCCCATCTATTTCAACAGCACTTCATAACAACTGAAGTACTCAAATTGTTTAGTCTCAAGAAGGAGCCAAACCACAAAACAGATTGGCAAAAAATGATGAAATTTGGAAGAAAGAAGAGAGATCGAGTAGATCACATCCTGGTCAGTGCTCACAACCAATCCTTTTATTTTGGTCATGTCATCTTAACTCAAAACATAGGTAGAGTTCAAAATGAAAGTGTGTGTAGCTGATCTTAAATTGATGAGATTGAAACTCCAACTACCTGCTGCATTTCCACCTTCAGTTTTGGGAATGGCTTTCTTTTGTTCTGTTGAACTAATGTTTAATTTAGCCAACAGAGATTTGTGAAGAAGTTGAGAAGCCAAAGCATGAGAGAATCACAGTTGAAGGTAGTGAAATCACAGGAAAGCAGTGTGGGGCCTGGAGCCAGACTGCCTGGGTTTAACTCTGCCAAGTTTATAGGACCTATCAAGTCTCACTTTTCAGACCTATGTGCTTGATCTAATTATTAAGAGAATTAAGTATGTATTTATTTTCAAGCATGTGTTGCTTAGGTGGGGATACATTCTCAAAATATATCCTTAGGTAAGTTGTAATCCGAACATGACAGCATTCACAGAATCCTAGAGGTATAGGTTAGCCATCTGACATGGTCAATAGATCCCTTTAGGAGATGGAGCAAATATCAGATGGATGAAGCTGCTGCTGGACTAATGTGGCATGCTGTTTTTCAATAAACTTTTATTGATAAGTGGGTGTACACTTTAAAATAACAATAAAAGTATAGGCCAAGATGTACATAAACCAGTAATAATCACTTATTACCATTATTAAATGCAGTGCATAATTGTACTGTTTTTTGTTTGTTTTTTGAGACAGGATCTCACTGTATTACCCAGGCTGGCCTCTAACTCAGTCATCCTGCTTCAGCCTTCCAAGTGCTGGAATTGCAGGCATGGCCTGTGTTATTATACTTCTTATATGCTAGCATCATGGCCATTTTATTTATATTATCATTACCCTAAACACATGAGTAATGGGTTGGCTAGGACTTTGTGATAGGTACCATATCACTAGAAGATAGAAATTTTTCAGTTCGCTATATAGTCTGTCACTGACCAAAATGTCTTTATGCAGCACATGACTAAATATATAAAGCACTCAGAACATTTCTCCCGAAGTAACCCAATAAATATTAGCTACTATTATAGCCATTGTCCAGAACATTAGCTGGAGAGGATTTATTTGATTTTATGTACATTTCTCTAACATTAGAAAAGTGTTAATCAGGTCTGGGGACGTAGCTCAGCTGGTAGAGTTCTCTCCTTGCCTGCATGAGGCTCTGCGTGTAATCCTCAATGCCAATAAAAGGAAGGGGGAGAGAGTCAGAGGAGAGAGAAAATGTTTATCAAAAAAAGAAAAAAATTATCTGTTCTGCCCTTAAAAAATGAATGTGAAGTAGAAGCAAACCTTAGAAAACTCATGTTAACTCATATTTACCTCTAAAGTGAATTTCATTTTATTTTGGACTTTTCTGTATTTCCTGTGTTGACATTTTATTAATGAAAAAAGTATAATGATATAATTTATCATTGTATACACACACACACATATCCAGGGTCTCATTTACTCAATATGTAAGAAAATACTTGTTTAATGTTTTATTATTCTTTTATACCTTATTTCAGTTGTTCTCAACCCCTTTGTTGTCACATACATATCAAATATTTACATCATAATTCATAACAGTAAAATTACAGCTATGAAGTACAACAAAAGAACTTTATGTTTTGGGGTCACCACTACATGAACTGTATTAAAAGGTCTCAGCATTAGGAAGTTTGAGAACCACTGTCTTAATTGGTCTTTACAACCATTATATGAGGTAAAAAGAACTGATTATATATTTGCAAGTGAAGATGTTTAGGTTGAAAGGTAAGTGACTACCTAGCAAATAAAAACCAAAGATTTAGCCAGCTATTCCTTCTTAGAGCTTAGAAATCTATGTCTAGATTTCTATCACATTTTAAAATATGAGTCTTAGAATCAAAAATTTGAATCCCCTTCATTTCTTAGAAATTAAAGAACAAAATGTTAAAGACATTCGGTCAAGGATTGCATTAAGGGCTGATGCTGAAATGATAAGCAAAACAGGCGCAGACTCTGCTTCATTGGGGTCCAGTTTACATGGATTGCACAAGTGTGGTATTGTAAATTGGGCAATCAAAACAGAATAGGAAATGTTGTACAAGCATCAGTGAGAGGAAGTCCACATAAATGAAAGAGGCTTCTAAGGAAGTGACACTGGGTTCAGATCTTAGCGGCCTGAGATGGTAGAGAGAAGGATGATTCGACCCTGGAACTGGACTATGCCTCATTGTGGTGGGCACTCTGAGATAAGCCAGGAAGGTAGTCTTCACTTACAGTACTTACAAAACATTGTTAAAGATTCTGGATATTGTTTTAAACTGGGGACTTTTAGGAGGGAAATCTTCAAGATTAGATTTATAATTTTAAGAAATCATGGAGGAATACTTGAAATGAGTATGGAGGAAGAGACCACTAAAAGGGATTATAGTGAAAGTGTATTAAGCATCATGTCTTATATAAGTGTTTTAAGTGTGTGTGAAAGAACTCAGGAAGCAGGCAGAGGTAGTAGTACCAATGCAGAGATAAACGTTTACTGTGCAAGACTTCCTGCTAGTTAGACTTTGACATCAAGGTTATGAAGACATTGTCTTAATAGCAGAAGGAGAAGGCAGTGATTTGGAGCCATCAGAAGTAGTAAACAATTTATCTAAGATGTGACTAATAACAGACCGATCTGAAGATAACTTTTAGGAAGCATATCAAAACCAAGGTGACAGAGACTCACATCAGGTGCCACACCAAACCATTTAAACAGAGGCATCTGTTACCAGAAAGTTCTCAGATATTAAATGTTTAATTTGAAAATAAGATTGTTTTAACCTGAGTAAGGATGGTGTATATCTGTGTCATAAGAATTGAAGAGATTTTCAGATGTAGTGATGCATGCCTGTAATCCCAGCACTCAGGAGGCTGGAAGAGGAAGATGGAGAATCACGATTAGCCAGAGCTATATAGTAAGACCTTGTCTCAAAGAAAATCAAATTCTTTACTTAACTCTTCACATTATATTTTCAAGACACTATATCGCTCTGGCTGTCTGAAACTGTGTAGACCAGGCTGGCCTTGAACTCAGAGACATCCAACTGCCTCTGCCTCCTACATACAGGGATTAAAGATGTGTACTACATATCTGTCAGAAAAAAAGAATTTAAGATACAAATAAGAAATAAATAAGAAAATGTATTATATGAATGTCCTCTTTGCTGGTCATATTTTTACATGTGTATAGCTTTTTATATGAGTTTGTTCTTAATGTATAATGAAATGATAGTATTAATTTCCTGAACTAATTAGTAACAAAAAATGTTAAGTTAACTAGTCTCTCTTACTATTAAGCAATCTAGGATTTACAAAAACTAATGGTTATACATTTTATTGGGAGATGTAAACCACAAACCACCATTTTAGTACAGAAGAAGAAAGGCCCAAAAATAAGAATTTTCAATGTATGTAGATTTTAAGTTTTTGTAGAGAAAATTTCATAAATGGAGATTTTAGCTCCTTTTTGTTTATTTAATAAAGTGTAGACATTTTTCTTTGCCCTCCCCCCATGTCTTTATTGTATATATACATATGTATTTTTAACAGTGTAGACCCTTGTATGTGTGTGTGTGTGTGTGCATTGAGCACAGGCTCCCTCCCCTTAGTTCTCACAAAGTGTGCTTCTCTGGGTGAGGAAGGCTGGTGGTTGAGTTGAGCCCCGGTGCCTTCTCTTTGGCTTCCTTTTGTTCTGATAATATCCCCTCACCAATTTTGGGAAGCCATCTCAGCTCCGACATGAGTGT